ACACAAACTCTAATTGCTATTTTCTCAAAATGGAAACCCCCCTTCAGAGGCGGGTTTTCCTAGTCCACAACCCATATTAAAATAATTATTTAATATAGTTACGGCACGTTACGGCAAAGTTACGGCATCATTGGGACGATTCGCCTGCACCTCTAATCCGGATATATCCGTCGATCACCCGTGTAATCCGCGGGTTTACCCGTCGGATAACCGGATAGCATTTTTTTTGATCGGGTACCATCACTACTGAAAATCTGAAAATTCTATATAGGATAGATTAGTGAGCAACCAAAATTAAGCAAATCGACCAAAATTTAGGATCTGAATAGTTCGGAATTGATAAATTTCTCCCTAATGAAATGGTAGCCCAAGTACTAAGTAAAGTTGGTTTGTATTATCGCTTAATGCCGGCCTAGCTCCGAGCCTATTCCGACCCTAAATTTTGGTCGATCTGCTGAATTTTGGTTGCTCTACTAATCTATCCTTCTATATATGTACGTACGTACGTATACGTAAAAGTTTCGGATGCGTATAATTTTCTCATGCATTATAGAAGTTTGGCCTGTTAACTTTATTCTTGAGCATTCGCATTGTAACTTCACCATTATGGCATTTATCATGTGTTTAAAATTACCAAAACTTAAAAAATTGTGAAAAATTATATTAGTGATTTCAGAATTGAAATTGACAGGGCCGAAGTCAATTGTCTTCAAACAAAAAAATTCACTCACGTTAGGGTTCAGGCATATGTTAGGATTAGAAAAAGTGTCCTTATAGTAAAATTGCACGAGGAAGTTTTTTTGTTAGAACCCAAAAGGTGATTTTTGTGATAAACGCAAAGCGAACGTTTGTTTTGAAATTTTTTATGTTACACATGAATCTGATTTTTGATTGGCGGGAATCACGTGAACGTAAATCGATCCTCTGCCCTGGCGTTGTTTTCAGAATTAGTGACTTGAATAAAAATAAATGACCTGTTTATCTTGAAATAAGTTCAAACTGATCTTAAATTGTGATTTATTATAGACCAAACTAAATAACATTCCTAGTAATTATTTCTTCCTGGAAACTGAGATTAAATTGTTCAATCGCGCATAATCGACCGATTTTTTAATATATGGGGTACCTCAAATAGAGACATATAAAATTTTTTACTTTATTTTGTGAACCTTTTTATTACATAATTAGCTCCTGTTATTTATAGCAAACTTTTTTATTAAATATATTTATTCAAAAATCGAATAAAATTTTTGAAAAATTGTAAAAATGGGCCTTTTAATACGAGGCACCCTATATAAAGTGAATTAGATCACTAAGCAATATTAGCCAAATAGTCCCTTACTTCTGATGGTGTGAGTTTTCTAAACAAAGGCTGTTGTTTTCCTTCCGTAAATCCCACTGTATCACCGCCAATAATACCAATTTCGATCGAGTTTTCGGTCATTTGACCCTCAAACCCCTCTTTGAGTGTAAGAATTGATGTATGAACCGCATCTTCAAGCTCAATATCATCATTATACCTAATTTGATTACATTGTGAGTTAATTTATTTGAATAACAACCCATCATTAATAATTTATTACCGTTTTTCCAGAAATGTTTTAGCATTAACCATATTCTTTCCAATAGCAGACGCCTTCCATGCCCAATATGAACCCGACGGATCCACTTGATATAGTGCTGGGCCTGTCTCATCGTAACCTGCAATCAGGAGGGAAACACCAAATGGGCGTACACCACTGATTCAAAAAAATTAATGAGGTAAACGTCTGGCCAATGTTGAGAATGAAGCAAAAAGCATAATTTATTCACTTGCCCACTCTGAGTGAATTCTTGCATAACGCTGGCAACCTCCTTTACTAAAATTCCCGTTGGTGGGTATTCGTTGTAGAATCTTTTATATTTTTGTGCCGATTTCCTTGCCTTGGTTAATAACACTCTGAAATCGGGCCCCATTCCGGAATAAACAATGCCGATATTTGGGCAAACATTCGCCACTTTTTCGAGTGACGAGTCATCAATTAAAGGTGAAGCAGTTTTCTTTTCGGTAGCAATAACAATTCCATTTGTTGCTATATGTCAATATACAAGTCGAATAGGATTAAGTGGTTTTTTTTAATGGATCATTTGAAATTAAAATGTTACCTTTTATACCGATACTAGTAACACCTTGGGCCACTGCATTTAAAGCATATTCGATTTGAACAAGCTTGCCAGACGGCGAAAAAGTCGTTAAAGAGAAGCTATTATAATAGTAAGATATTGTCTTTTATAACTATTATTTTTAATCATATGCAAAAAAGTAGACATTTTGTACCTATAACGGTCTGACATTATAAAAGTACGCGAGAGCAATAACTATAAGGATTTTTGATTTTGGAATATATATT